ATTCTTTAAAGGAGCAGAAGGTCCGGTTTTTGAATCGTTCTGGTCTAGGTTGTCTCTTCAAATACTTGTCCAGCAGATCTATCTTTCTTGCTTGGCCCTTTGTTCATATGATGATTTCAAAGCTCTCAGAGAGCCCAGGCCTGAGCTACCCTCAGTAAGGGTAAAAAGTTTGGGGACAGAGGGCAAATATTCAAATTTATAATCTTTTTGTTTGTTTGTTTGTTTTTGTTTTTGTTTTTTTTCCAGTACCAGGAATTGAACTCACGACCTCGTGCTTGCCAGGCAGACGCTGTGCTGCTGAGCTAAATCCCCAGCCCCTATAATCTTTTTCTTAATTTCTTTTTTTATGAGTCCACTAGGCCTGCAGTATGTAATGGTTAACATTCATGACAGAGAGTTTAGTACACCTACGCAGCACATTGAATTCATTTTATGACCCCTTCCCTTGCCTTCTCTCCCACTTCCCTTTATTTCTTGGTCCGCTCCCCATTTGCAAAACATTAAATTTAGAAGCTTAAAAAGCTACCGTCACCTGGAAAAAGTTGGAATCCTTGGAGATATCCAGCAGTCATACGTGCCTGGCACAAATGGCGGCCCTGCCCCGTCTCAGTCGGAGGATGCGAGGTGACCACACTGATAGCTTGCGTTGTGTGGTGCCTTCTTTACCAATCCTTCTGCACCGAGGATGCTGGGGGTTGACTTTGTTGCCAGTCACTGGCATGGGCCTCGAGCCCCTTCCTCATACCCTCTCGGGGCCCACTACGCCCCTGAGTGGTGTCTGTAGCCACGGGTGGGCTGCTCAGGGTGGACCCTTGACCCAGGGAGATCAACCACGTCTTTTCCTGTGAGCAGCTGAAGTTCCACAGTTGTAGTATCAGCTTCATTGACACTAAAACCGGACAGTCCTGCGGGCCACCTGGGCCACCAGCATTCCCCACATGCGCAGAGTGCCGGGGAACACCGGCCGGGAGAGCAGGGAGGCAGAGGAAAGAGCAGAGTGGAGGGGCTGAGCTGAGTGGTGTGACGATGCCGGGCCAGCAGAGGTGACTTCCGTTCCCGGCACCACTCCCCCAGGCTTCCCAGCCCTTTCTGCCCTTGCTTGTCCTGTGTCCTTCCGGCGAATTTCTGCTCAAGCTAGCGTAGGAGAAACCCTGTTACTTGAGATCTGATTAAGACTTGGCTTTTATTTCTTCTGCTCATCTTAGTAACGCTCTAGCAGGAAGAGAGAACCGAAGATGAGAGGGGAAATGATGTATCCAGAGCCTCTGAGCTGGGAAATTGGGGTCTAGGTGTGCCTGATGGCAGGACCCCAGAGCCTTGGTCCCACGCTGGGTCATCGCTAGTGTCACGGAGTGTCTTCCTGTTCTACGTGGAAAGTGGTACTCGGTGACCTTCATGTCTCATCTGCTCTGTCTCTGTAATGCCCAGAGTCCAGGACTTGCCTAAGATTCTTCTGCTTTATCAAAATCTCATGAGTATCTCTTCGGTTTTGTATGCAGCTGACTTTAGAGACCCTCGAGTATGAAGCGCAGAAGACACCGCCCCTGAGGGAGAGACACCTCTTTGTGAGATGAGCTTGGTGCTGAAATGAGTGACTTTTCTTGTGTGTGTGTGTGACATGCTGCCATGTGTTCCTTTCTAGTCCTTGGGGAGGCAGACAGAGCTGGTGTACTGGAAGTGTATTTTTAGTCTGACATTAAAAAATGTATCATAGACACCGACACAGGAAGCCGGTTGTAGGTGAGTCAGTGTATAAATAAGCTGAGTTTCCATGATGGATTGGTAGATCTTTAATTTACCGGCCCAGCCTCCGAAGGGCATTGCCCGGCTCTTTTCTCCATTCAGTACTTACTGGGCGCATTTTGCTTGCACTGGGAAAGAAACATACATCCTTCTCCCTCAGAACGTAAGTCCATGTGGCCTTTGTTCCAGCTCTGCCTGTCCTGCAGCCCAGCTTCTCTGAACGCAGGGACTGGGTATTGTGCCCGTACTTCACCCTGTCCTCGGCACAGGAAATACTCCAGGGTTACTCAAGATACAGTGAGTCAGGAGCCCACAGTCCAGCTCAGGATGAAAACACCAAAATATTTAAATTACACCCATGTTTTGGTGCCCACACTGCTCTAGAAATACAGGAGCGGAAACGTTCAACTCGCTGAAAGGGTAATTTTTCGCTTTAGCCTCAGAAAGATGGAATTTTACAGGGAATGTGGAATTTGCAGTACCGTGTGAAGGTAAGATGCAGCCTAGGGCGGCTTTGTTTTGTTCTGAGAAGTGAAATGAGTTAGGAGGACAATGACAACGCAGGGCTAAGTGCTTCGAACATAGCGAGCTTAAGCTGAACCCCTGACCTGACACTTTACACATGATGGGGCCGCCGGGCATGGTGGCGCACGCCTATAATCCCAGCACTTGGGAGGCTGAGGCAGGAGGATTGTTGCAAGTTCGAGACCAGCCTGGGCTACAAAGTGAGCTCAAGGCCAGCCTGAACTGCAGAGCAAGACCCTGTCTCAAAATAAGACCAAAAAAAAAAAAAAAAAAAAAACCCACACAAATGACGGGGCCTTTGGGAAGGAAGCTTTTACAACTTGCTTGAACCCCTTTTCCTCATCTATAATACAGAGATAGTGGTAGCAGCGCTGCCTCTCCGTGGTTATGGTAAAAATTAAGGTGGAGTAGTGTCAGGAAAGGTTTTCCCTAGTAAGTGCTTTGGGACGCATAGTAAATGCTCGGTGAGAGAGAACATTTATTGCCAGACAGGGAGAAGGTGGGGGAATGTGAGTGGTGCAGAGGTGAAGGAGCTCAGAAACAGTGGGCAGAACAAGGCCCCCCGTGGGTGCAGGCCCTGGGCCTTCCTCACTTCCGCACGTTGGTTGCACATTTCCGGTCCAGGACCTTAACCTTGGGAGAAAAATGTGCATGGCCTTATACTCACAGCTAGTATCTGTAATAGCTGATACATTGAGTCAACCTGAGAACTGAAAAGTTCAGAAGTTCAAGTGACTCAGCAGGGGGCCAGGGTCCTCCCTTTGTAAACCTCCTGAGCCTGTGGAAGAGGAGGATGTACAATGATGTGGGCAGATAGGGCCTACAATATAGGGGAGGGAAAGAGGTTTGCTGTCCCCCTTTGGCTCTTGTTGCTTTGCAGTCCTCCGTGGCCTTGAGGTGCTGCCCCTCACCATTCTGCCCTTCCTTGGAGCCAGCTGACCATGGGCTGAAACCTCCACACACTGTGAGCTAAATAATCCTTGGCGTCCTTAATTTGGGGTGTCAGGTATTTTGTCTCAGCAATGAGAGAAAAGTAACCGATTCAGCATCCATACTTCAACTGGAGTCCTGAAGGGTAGCCACAGAACTCAGAGCTTTATAAACCCCAAGGCGGGAATCCCCACACAGGTAGATGCCCCCAAGGGTTCCAAAGTGCATGCTGATGATCAGTTAAGCAATTGGAGAACACCCCAAAATACAAGACAGGAAGTTCCCGGCATCCTTCAGGAGATGGGCCCCTTGGTTCTGTTGTACTTGACTACGAACAGATGAAACATAAGCTCAGATTGTTCGAAATGGAATAACTGAGCAGGAGGAGAGGGGCGTGGGAGGTGCCGTCTCAGAGGAGAAGGGCGCGTAGGAGCTCAGCTAGCGCGGCAGCGTTTTCTGGATGAAGATGAAAATGCAAGCACAGGTATTTAGGTTGAGGAAACGACCCCTCCGTCCTTCCCCCTCCATTCCTCCCTCACTCTTCCCTCCCTTCTTCCGTCTTTCCTGAGCTGGAACCCCAGGCCCTGCAGCGCTGAACAAGTGATCGGCCTCTGAGCTGCATCCCCAGCCCGGTTAGGCATCTTCTATTCACACTCGGCACTTGATGGTCAAGGTGCAGTCTGTGCCGAGCCTGTGAGGCCCGTTACCGGGCAACACGTTTTAAAGCTCTGCAAACTGAAATTACGGAGGCTGAACAACTTTTCCAAGGTCTCCTGATTTGTGGGTTAAAAAGTCAAGTCTGAGACTCGTAGTTTTCCACAAAATAAAACATCAGCGGCCAGAGACAGAGAGCCCAGGTGGTATGCTCCAGAAAAATGTGCACATTAGGGAGAAAAAGATAAATTTACATGAGACAGAGGGGCCTTGATAACCCCGTGAAGAAACTGGGAGCCTGATGCCTGAGGAGAGGACTGCAAAGTCACGTGCATAAGGCTGGAATGAGCCGTGGGTTGGGGGCTGGGCTTCCTCGCCGGGCCTTTGAATTATCGCTTCTTTTTTCCGCCCTTGGTGGCGTCCCGAGGACGACGGGTGGGCATGTGCGAGCTTTGTAGCGGGAGAAGCCGCGGGGCTGGGCCAGGGCTGCTTGGCTTCGGGGCCAGGTACAAGCCAAGCCGCTCTTTCTACTTTGCAGCCACAGACAAGGCCGTTGCCGCCACCACCAGCTGAGTGGCCGGCGGAATGCAGGGCTGCCGGTAATTGTGGGTTGCACTCACAGAGGAAAAAGATAAGAGGAGAGCCAGGCTGGTTTTTCCACAATTAAATGCTGCCTCTCGGCTTCTCTTCTGGCTGGGATCCCAAAGGTCAGGAGTCACCAGCCGTATTATTTTCCTCCTCAAGCCCAGACCCTTCCTCGCCTGCCCTGGGTCTGCTCCTGTGGTCTTTTTGAATTCGGCAGCTCTTAAATTCTTGCATTCGGCCAACTCTAGTTTTTAAAAGCAATTTATTTCTCCCAGCACATGTCTGCAGGACATAATGACCGCATTCCTCCCAAGGAGCGGGTCCTCCGACGGAACACAGCGCAAGTCCTTTTCTTGTTCCCCTCCTCTCCCTCTCCCTCCGTCCTCTCGGGGTCCCTTCTCCTCTGCAGAAGCTGTGGCTTCCCATTTCCTGAGATTCGTCTTTCATTTGCTCTTTCTTTCTTTCTTTCTTTTACTTGCCATTCTAGCTGCCCCAAGGGCAGGCAGGGTTGTAGAGTTTTGCTTTTGCACCTGGGAGTGGTTCAGATTTCTGCATTTCTGAAGTTGCAGGTGAGGAGGGGCCCTGGGAGCCACGTGACCCAACTTCTGCCTGGAGTGAGAGACATGACATCAGCCAGCCACTTCCTCAGGCTGCGTGGTGAATCGGTGAATGGGAGCCTTCCCGAGCAAGGACCAGAACATGTGACCCGGTGCCCCAAGGACAGAGCATTGCCCTGTGGCACACAGCAGCCCTGGGTTGCTGTGTGCCTCAGTTTCCTCACTCTGAGGTTGCTGATGGACATTTTTCTCTGCCTGGCAGTTACTGGGTAAAAATGTCCTCCCATACTAGACACTCAAAGATGGGTGCTTTTAGAAGCCATTGTTTCATTCTTTTACAAGTTCTATGCTGCCTTTATTTAAAAAAAAACAAAAACAAAAAACCTCGCCTGTCTGAGACTCATTCAGCGGCAGGAAAGGTGGTGAGAGGAACGGAGGAAGCAGAGCCCGTTGATGGGCCCCGGGGAGACTGGCCCGGCCAGGAACAGGAGCTGGTTCCGCCCACAGGAAGTGTCCCCGCCTTCCTCCCGCCTGCCCTCAACAGGAGGGAGTTGGTGTGGATTGATTGAGCAGTGAAGAACGGAGTGCTGGCCTTGCCCTGAGCGAGAGGCTGGCCACAGGGACAGGTGGAGGGCATGAAGTCAGCAGACCCACAACCTCAGAAGTGACTGGAGCATGAGGGACAGGTGGCTGGGGGCTGCAGGGCGCGTGCCGAGGAGGACAAGGCCACAGACACTGCTCAGCACAAGAGCCTGGGAGACCCAAGGCTGCTGATATAAACCACAGGGCAAATGATTGAAAGACAGGGAGGCAGTGGGGCAAGCTGAGGCAGGAGAATCGTAAGTTTAAGCCCAGCCTGGGCAGCAGAATACCCTGCTTCAAAATAAAAACCTAAAAGGGCTGGAGATAGAGCTCAGCGCGAAGGTCCTTGTCTCAGTCCCCACTCGTATGCCTGTCTTCTCCCTCTTGGTGACTTTAGGAATCCAGCCACCTCCTGGCAGCAGGACATTGTGCCAGGGCCACCAGAGCTGGATGCCAGGGAATGCAGTGCCCGAAGGGTCCCAGGCCTTATCTGCAAGTAGAAGCCCAGATCCTGTGTGCAGCAATTCTCCCCATAAAGCGTAAGAACAAATACTCTGTGTGCACGGTGCTGGCCTGCCTCCAGCAATAACATAGCTGCCGAAGCAGCTTAGTCACCAGGGCGATGGGGCTGGTGTGGCCGGGGAATGCGGGTGCAGGAGGGGACATTTAGCTGGTCCTGAGAGCCAGGACCTGCTCCCGCCCACACCCTTCCCTAGTTGCTTTTGAAGCCCAAACGTAATCCCCTCCCAGGACAAGGCCCACTGCGGAGGAAACAGAGGAAACGAAAACATTTTCAGATGGAGGGAAGGCAGAACTTACTGGTTCACGCCCCTCGTGGTCCATTCTGATTTCCTGGGTCACGTATTTCATGCCCCAAGAGAGGCAGAGTGTAATTTGAATAAGAGGAAAGGGGAAGAGAGCAGCTTATATTATCTTACATAGAAAAATAGGATGACTCTTCCGAGCCTTGGGTGTCCCGGTGATGAATGAGAGGTGATCAAAATATGCAGTGAATGTTTAAGTTTTTAAAAAAGGTGTTACAGTGAAAGACACATTGCCACGAATCACGCTCCAAATCCTCCCCTCACTTTGTGTATGCTCATCCTGTCGTCCATGTTTGTCACTTTCTACAGCAGCTCCAGAGTCCTCTTTCCTGAGTGGTTTTACAAGACGTGATCAAAAATATGATGAGCACCGCTGCCGAGTGCTGTCCAGCAGAAAAGCAGCTCAGAAAAACACGACACTATGTCCTCATCCACCTTATTCACCAAATCTGGCAATGTGCAATCTCTAGCTCCTCCCCAAAGTCAAAATGACCGGGAAAGGGAAACGTTCTGAATCAGTTCAGGACATCAAAGCAGCCAGGGCAGCACAGCTAAAGACCCTCAGAGAGAGGACGCCAGAGCTGCTGCCGGAAGTGGCCGGGATGATGGGATGAGTGTGCTGGTGGGATGAGGAGGAGGAGGATGTTGAGGGGGCTCCCTGCCACTGTGTCTTTTACTCAGCCCTCACCGTATGTTTTGATCACACTGCACACCAGCCCGTTAGGAGCGGCTGCATTGTCCCTTCTGCCCTGTAGCAGTGGTATCTCTGGCCTGCAGGCCTCTGGGAAGTGCTCTGCAAAATACCTAGCTGGTCTCAACTAGCTGTGGGAGGACTAACAAAGCGCTGCCCGGTGACCCCAGTCCTCCTCCACCTTCAAACAGCGGACCTCACTGAAGGCTCCCTACGCCGGCTAGCTTGGCAGTTTGTTTTGGGAGTCGCCAAGTTACATCAGCCACGCTCCCCTCCCTCTCTGAGTACTGTCGGAGAACGAGGCTGTCACTCACGCACACTGCCAGAGTCTATTTTTAGATGCAGTGTGAATGAAGTCCTTTTCTCTAATTGCAGTCAGAGAGAGAGGCAGGTAGATTTCACAGCTACCACATCAGCTATTCTCGGTGCGCTGCTCGCCAAAGGTGTCCTGGGGAGAAAGCAAAGGCGCCCGCCGTGGGTTTTCCTCTCGTGGCCAGCTTGTTTTCTCTGTGCATTTGTATTGATTACAGTCACAAAGGAAAGCACTGTGGCTGTGTCTGCTGCTTGGAGTTTTAAAGCTTGGCAGCTTCTGATTTCTCCAGCTTTGTCAGGAAAAGATGGGCTCCGTGCTCAGTTCTAGTTCCTTGGGAAACAAATTCCTTAGAAATTCCCTTGCGGTGATATCCTCCATGGCATTCAATCCTGTTAACGGGCACTGGGAAAGGCCCTGGGCCCCGTCTTTCCATGTGGTTCTCTGACCACCAGCCCCACACCCCGCAAGCCCCAGTATATCCTAAACAGAGGGTGCATCACTCAGTGGAAGCTGGGTCGCTGTCACCACACCCTGCCTGCTCCTCACATCCCCACCCTACTGACTCCATTGTTTCCTCGGAGGACACCGCAGGCATTTTATGCTTACCTGACTTTTTAGACGTGCAGCTTCCTCTGTGACTCCTTCTCCTACCCTGCTGCCTCCTGAACTCGTTTGTGTCACAAGTGGACGTCGCCTCTGCCGCATGAGCCATCCAGCTGTGTTCTTTGGTCCCGCCCCACCTTGCACTCCTGGTCTCTGCAAACCGCGCACCTTCTGTGTTCTTCGGCGTGGCGTTAACAGCATGGGGCCGGGCTCATCTGTGGGGTGCCTGCCTGTCCCACCACCCGGGGACAATCTGAGGGCAGTGACGGCCTTACATGTCCTTTGACTGCCTCTGTTGTGCATGGGAACAAGGAGGTGCTTACAAATATAGGTGGAGGAATGAGCTGAGTTGTAGCAGCAGAGGTTTTGAGGAACTCTGATCCCACAGCGGTGACCACGCAGGTTGTCGTGGGTTTCCGGAGCCCTGGTTTCCTTTCTGGCCCCAGCAGGGTGGTTCTGAGTAGGTTTCGAGACGTGATCCTGGGCTGGTTGTGCCCAGTGAGCCTGCACGACTTCCCTCTCTGGAGTCTCTTGCCAGAAGCACATGTGTTGTTCCCTTAGCCTTGGTGCCGGGGACACAACGCAGCCCTCAAGGCCCACACGTTTCTTCAGTCATACACCTCAGGCCCTCTCAGTGAGTCTGGGGCTTTCTGGGCAGGAAATCTACATCCTATGTCCTTCTTTAACCCCCAGCCTTCTCCAGATGGACACCAGAGCCCACCCAGGGGGTATGATGCTGAGGGGAGGCAGGGAAGGGGACCGGCTTCCCCAGAACCACTCCCCTTCAATTCGTCTTCCACCCATACCTGAGGAACAGGTGCAGCATTCCTTAGCAAGACAATTGGGAACCCACGGACCCAGTCTGAGGACCATCCTCTTTCTGAGTGTGTGTGTGTGTGTGTGTGTGTGTGTGCGTGCGCATTTGTGTAAGTAAAGTTGAGGGTAGGAAAACAAGCCGGGGAGAAAGAAGAAGTGTGTGTCTTAGATATTTTTATCACTGCTGAAACAAAATACCCGACACCCAAAGTGAAAGGAGGAAAGGTTTATTTCAGCTCACATTTTGTAGAGGTTTCAGCTCACAGTCGGCTGAATTCAAGGCAGGGTGGCATGGCAGAGGGGCATCACAGAGGAGAAACAGTGCATGGCAGGCAGAAGCCAGCAAGAGCAGCAACCATCAAGCGACAACAGCAGCCTTCCTTCTGTCCCTAAATTCTGTCCAGGCTTCCTGCCCTTGGTAGCACTCACACCCAGGGTAGGACACCCTTAATTCTAGCGTTGCACCATGAGTCTATCTCAGCTTCACGTCCTTAATCCCAGCCTCACACACTCTAGATCCAGCCACCCCAAAAAACTCCACATATGCCTGCAAGAGGCTTTGGGGGGACATCTGGATATAAGCCATAACAGTGTGGACGTCACCAAATTTGAGCAAACCACTAGATTGGTGAAGAGGTGATAGGATGACAGGGAATCTGGGGTTATAAGAACACTGGAACCCAGGAAGATGGCATTCATCAATTTGGTGACTGTTTAATGAGTATCTCCTGTGGACAGATACGGATGGCGTAGCTGGGAGCCCTTCCAACTCAGGTCCAGTGCGGCAGGGCATTGCAGGAGGACAAGGGGTGCAGTGCTGGGCCCACGGGTGCCATGGGAACAGGATGAGGGGGTGCCTTGCTGGGAAGGCAGGAGTGAAGCCAGTGTGATTCTGGAAGGGCCTGTGGGATATGAACTGGGAATGCTGTACAGGAGGCAAGCCATAGCCTCTTATGCCCTCTAATGAGGTTTCACTTCAGACCTAGGACATTGTAGAGTGCAGGAGGTGTTCCTGGAGTCTGGCTGCAATGTGACAGGGAGACAGGCACAGGAGAGTGTTTCAATCAAAGTGTTTCATCTTGCCCAAGCTGGGCAAGATGGCAGCCTGGGCAATGGGAAGGTGAGCAAGAAGAGAGGGCCCTCGCCAGAGAGGGGCACCCATGCTGGCCGTGGGGCTCTGGGAACCAGGGGAGAGGACACCTAAGTGGGACATGAACATGTGGGCTCAAAACTCAGCTGGGAAATCTGGCCTGGACAGGGAAACTGGAATCGCAGCAGCAGATGTGATGCCCCAGGGTGAGGGTTGAGTCAGAAGCCAAAGGAGTTGCCTTTCACCCGGTGTAGGCAGCGGACGGAGTTTGTGCATATTCTGTGGCTCTTCCAATTCCTGTATTTGCATAAGTGATGCCTTTCTCCAGCTGCATGGCCCCTGCAGCAGCAGCCTTGACTGCAGAGACACAGGGGATGTTTCCTGGCAGGGAAGACAGCACCGAGACAAGACCTGAGACGAGCGGTGTTTTCCCTCATCCTCGTCACGGTTC